TGCTCGACACTCCACAGGGGAATGGATGTAACCATGTAAGTATGTACTCATTAGCATTTCATGTGTATTATAAGACCTTAATATTATGTAAAAATGTGTTTATTTCATAAAAATTAAGTGTTTGAAACTAATTTAAGTGACTTTCGCCTCAAGTCAAGCCTTTTTTTCCCTCAAATTTAAATTTATTCTTGTATAAATTGATGTTAACCTAATAAATATGTTGAATTAATAAATTATTTAGCATATCTTTATAAATTAATGGATTGCATTTGTGTTTCTATGCGTTTTCATATTTTTTCTGCGTTTCCATTGCGTTTCCGAAATGTTTCCGAAACGTTTCTATTTTTGAGTTGACCGAAACGGTACTTCGAAACGAAATTTTGATCCTTGACACCAACACAACTCAGTCAGGTCGTACCCAACTCTAGCACTTTCATTCTGAAATCAAAACATGTTCCGTGAAAACCATAATTCCCACAACTTGAGGTTGACTCGAAGACAACTCGGTCCAATCAAAGTTGACCGAGTCAGTGTCATCAAATCATAGCTAACGCCAATATTGTTTCTCAATATAGCCTGAATCTCTCACTATGTCCAACTTTTTAGCATTTCATGAGTGTGTTGTATGATACTGTTTCATGACACCCCAAGTGATGTGTCTTCATGCCCTCCACGTGATGAGTGATACCATGACTTTGAACCATGGTTGGGTGATGTTTAATATACATGATCCTATATATACACACACACAAGAGCGTGCATGCCTGCACACACAAATATATTTGTATATATGTATCATACTTGTACATACCTGTAATGTATGTAGGAGATTACAAGTTGCTTCAGGAAAATCAGGTCGTATAATCAATGCTTGCTTATAACTTTTCAAAGCTAATTCCACACGGCCACTATAAATTGTTCAAATCCAAGAATTAAGCTCTAGTACAGATAGATGATCCGACAAAGGTATGCCTCACCCTCCAAATAAGTGTTGTTACAAACCTGTCCTTGTACGCTGAAGCCAGATTTGCATGAGCTTCAGCCATGGTTGGCCGGATAGCAATAGCTTGTAAATAGTCTTGAATTGCTTCATTTACTCTTCCACTCTCCTTGTAAGTGTTTCCCCGATTGACAAGCCCATCGGCAGCCAGAGGATCAATTTTGAGGACTTCATTGTAGCAAGATATAGCATCAGCATAATTTCCCTGTAATTCAGGGGTAAAATTTTTCAATGTCATTTTTATAAAATTTTGCAAGAAATAACAGGTAATGCCATAAAAAATTCTCAGAAAACAACAATGTTAATATCTTTGTGGATGAATCCTATTTCAAATTTTCAATGCCTTCTTTTTGCAGTAATTTTTTTTTTTTTTTTTTGGGAGGGGGGAGAAGGGAAAGGGGTACTTGAATCCTTGACCTCAACAAAGGCAAAGCCTTTATAAGACTAGGAGTACCATTGAACCAAAGAAGTAGTGAAACAGAGTACTTTACTGAGAGAGACAGGAGAGAGCAGTGTTAAAGATGCCGCTACCTGCTGTTTGTATATTATTGCCAAATTGTTAAAAGGAGCGGACAGCCCTGTAGTTACAGCTATCGTTGCCTTGTAACACTGTGCAGCGGCACTCATCATGTTCCTAAGAACTCAGAAACTCTCCTTAGAATCTAAAATATTCATCAATAGCATCCACTCATCAAAAAAGAAAAAGTAAAACTTAGCTATACATTTATTAATCACATACCATTCCATGTATATATTTCCAAGATTAGTGAGCGCTTGGGGATGGTTAGGTTGCAAAGAAAGGCATTGCTTCAAGCAGAACAGAATTATAATGAGAATAGAGGGTAGACATATAAAAAAACAGCAATTAACGACACAAAAGCATTATAAAACTTACACGGTAGCAATGGATGGCTTCCTCAACCCTGGCAGCATCTTTTAGAGCATTACCCTTGCAAAAGCAGAAGATACATAAAATTATACAGCTGAAAACTGCGGAAGAACAAAATATAAATTTGTTGGAAAAAAAAAAAAAAACAAAATTTGCAATCCTCATTGGAAGAATCCAACAATTAAAAAAGAAATGACAAGCACACCAAATTATTATATGCCTCCAAGAATCCAGTGTCACAAGTTATGGCTTGCTTGTAATGAAGTATTGCCATATCCAGGTTCCCTTGCTCATAGAATATGCTAGCCAAATTGCCTGCATAATGTGTTTAATTGCAATGACCATCAGTGAAAAAATATACAACCATTCCAAGCAGTAGTTTTTTTGTTTATTATAAGTAGCCATTATCCTGATAAAAAAAAGAGTATCCATTAACAGCAAGTATAACACAAAACTGAGTTATATGCTCCAGACAGAGATGCCATCTAATACAAATCTTTGATGAGATCAATTCTACTAATAGTCATCAATTTGGCATCTTTCATATTCACTGTTTGATCCCTTCAAAATCCAACCACCAATCAGGTGAGGCCAACATTGCCCAGAGATCAGCCTGTTTCAATCTGCTCTCAGGAAGGATGAATTGCAGTACATCAAAGACACAACAGCTTCACCATGAAGAACTCTATTTCAAATAGAACAAACAGAGTCCGGCACAAGGAAATATTAAGTAAAATAAATACACATGCACATATAGATATAGAACACTGAGAAAGCCCTCACCAAATGCCATTGCATAGTCTGGACGGGCCTGAAGAGCACGCTGATAACACAGAATAGCCTCTTGAGGCATTCCCAAAGCCTGGAAAAGGCAAAAAAAGATCTTGTTTTCTCCAGATTCTTGTCCTGCACTTGCAGCTACCTGACTAGCATGATACATGAGAGCTTACCTTGTAAACGTTACCCAGGTTCAAATAGGCATCTGAAAATGTTGGTTTTAGCTTAACTGCTTCCTGAAAATGGAAGTGTTTGCATCAAGAACAAGTAACTTAAAACAAAGCAGTATATAGTTCAACCAAGTCAAAAAAATTGACAAAGGACAAAAAAACGAAAGGAAAATCATTGTGGCAGTGCAAAATGTACAGGGAAGCACGTATGAGAGTCCATTGATTCGAAAACCACATAGCAGCAAAGTGAAAACAAATCATTAAAAATACCCAAATCCAAAAAAATAAATTATTGAGTAATCTGATATTTCATACCTTGTAATATTGCAGAGCCCTATTAAGATCACCTGCCTCCATGAAAAGGCCAGCAAGATTGGACCAGGCAATAGCAAAAGTTGGTTGTATATGAAGAGCCTCAACATAGCAGTTGTATGCCTGGGCAAATCACAAACCCTCAAACCACTAAAAGATGAAGGGAAAACAAGACCACCTATCTAAATACTAATATAACCCTGGCATAACAGCAGTAACAGTAGCATATCCAGACAGATTTCACATGCTTACCACTTCCCAAGAACCACATCAACCATGGAACAAGCAGATAAATAGCCTAGAAAGACCACACACAGCAATGGATGACTTGCACAGAGCTTTTGGCAAACTAGTAAGGTGTCGGTGACCAAGTTGGTTTTATAAGCTTTTCAAGGTAAACAAAAAACAACAGCAAAAGTAAAATAAAATAATGCAGGCGACATTTCAGTGGCTACAAAATACTTTCATAAGGAAAATTCTTCAGTTATCCAGGCTAGGTAATGAGCTGCTACACAAATTGATTAGAGAAGGTTATGTTAAGTGTCATATATATCTCAGATATGAGCACCCGTTGTGATGCCCTTGTTAGGTGCTCCGTGGTAATGACAACAGTGGTGCTGACAATAATAAGGGAAAAATTCAGGCACACCAGCCATAGATTGCCGTAACTTCAAGGACACCTCTTGCATTATCTGAAGTGACACGACAACCTCTCTTAATTTGTATGTTTATGACCGGCCATCATTGACAAGCCAAAAATATAATTATGTCATGCAAGGTTCTTCCAAAAACACTAATGTTATCTTTCATAATTCTTTTTTTTCTTCTTCTCCATAACATTCACTATACACCTACAGATACCACCACATCTTCAATGCACAGCGCACACAACCACACCCTAGGCATATAATTTGTATAGATTATATCTCAACCCTTGATAGATCCTTTATTCTAACTATTTGGGGTAAGGCTACAGCAATGTTGCTTCTCAACTATGCTTTATCATATCCTATTTAACTATCTAGTTCAAAGATAATTTAGGCCTACCTCTCTACCTCTCACATTACCACCAGTATGAATCAATTCATGTTTCAGTACTTTGTCCTTCATAAACATGTTTAAATCATCTAAATTGATTATCTCTTAAATTATCTTCTATTGGTTCTATTGGTGTTACTTCTGCGATTTCATGGATATACTCATTTCTAGTTTTATAAAACATTTATTTTAACATTTTCATTTCTGCTACACGTAATTTTTAAGTATGCTGTTTCTGACTTGCCTAACATTTTATACCATAAAGTATCGCTGGTCTAGTGGCTACATTGTAAAACTCAATTTCAACTTAAGAGGCATGTGTTGATCACATAATATATCAAATTCATTCCTCCACACAGTCCATCTTATTTCAATTGTATGATTAACATTGTCTATGTTCACATATGATCGATGTAGCACACCCATATAGTCCACCACCATCTTCCCCTCCACTGGTCCACACGTTGCAGAACACCAAGGCAGTGCAACCATCTTTCACAGTGGCCAAACACCTTTTAGGTTGCAGATGAAATTTCTATGCGAGCTCAGGATTGTATTGGGGCTACTTGAGTTGTATTTAGTTGTTTGGCAATAGAAGAAGGCATCCCCATTATTTAATCATAAAATGTGGAAGAAAATCTGTTAATCCAATCACCACAATCATTACCCTAGGAAACCCAATCATTCTCTTTTAATTTGATTCCAAAACCACTTCACATGCTCATCCCATAAAGCTATCAACTTCCGCTACTTTTGCCACGATCACAACAAAACCAAGTTGAGAAAAACCGATTCAGTAATAGTTCAAATCCTTCTAATTGGTTAGTGCATTAAGGTGGCATGACTTACTTCAGGCCAGCAGGAAACAAAGTGTTAAAGTAGAGAGCTAACGTTCCGTACTCTGACAGATGAGCAAATAAAAAAAAAGAATGAATGAATGAATGAATAAGAAAGAGAAAGAAAGGACTTGGATGCAACTATCTCCAATAAGCAAGTTCCCCCTCGCCGTCCAATTGCTGGACAGCTGTCGGTTCTTGAGCATGTTGGGGAATTAGGCGGCGGTTGAAAGAACTGCTTGAAAACAGAACCAAAGTCTGCTGCTGCCACCACGTGTAGAAGTGAAGCTGTCTGAACAATAATTGATGCTACTCTTGTCTCTCGGATGGCATTGCTTTCGGCACCCAAATCACGAGGATTGGTTATAGGAAGATCAGTGGTGAACAAGAGTGGTAGGGGTGAGGTAGTCCTATTTCTTTTCTATGGCTACATAAATACATATTTTATAACTTATAATAGGAAAAAGTATTTCATGGAAAAATTTGCAAGACAACAATTCCAGACAAACAGTAAAACGGCCTATTAGTGAAATTATAGATAATAAAAAGTAGTGTTTTCCGGATTAGTGGCAATCTAGAGGACATGTGACTAAATTATCCCTCATAATAACAAATCACGGTGACAGGAAAGTTTGACCACTATAACTTAACCCATTGCCATTGCACATAGCTGACAAAGGAAAAGAATGAAAGACCAAGAAATATGAACTAAAAAATTCACTTGATGGCTTACCTCTTGAACTAAACCTTGAGCTTTCATCATATTCCCAAGGTTACTATGAGCATCAACCTAGAAGAAAATAAGTGTAAGAGAAACTTGCTAAAATTGGAAAAAAATGTTGTAAAACTGAGAGAAGGATATACCAGCTGAGGATTGAATGAAAGGGCCTCACGACAACATTGGCCTGCGTCAGTCAGCCTTCCTTTTCTCATGTATGCACTAGCTAAGTTTGACCATGCATCAGCAAAATTGGGACGAAGCTGATGATATAAAAATTTAAAATCAGCAAACATCAAGTCATATGCATGACAAACTCAATTAACAGTAAATAGCTACATTATCTCCATACCATAAAACCTACCGAAGCCAGTAATCAAAATAAGATTTCTAATGCAACCAGTTACTAATCAAACTTATGGGACAACCAGCAGTAATTATGCTACTAAATCATATGGCATAATAAGTTATATACATATAACAGACATATATATACAAATGTAAAAATGGTAAATTGTTTCATACGATAGCAAAGGGGGGGAGGAAGAAGAATCTGATTAATAAATTTGAAATTGGCGATGGCTTAGTATCAGAAGATGAAAGGCGAATTGAGGAAGAACTTACCAGATTCTTTCAAAATTTGTATTCGCCCAAAACTTAGGGTAGACCAAGGTTAGTAGGTTTGGACTGATGTCCAATCAGTGAGAGGAGAGCAAGTTGGGAAGACCTTTTGAGAAGAGTGAGTAGAAGCAGATATTGTTGGATGTAGAGTTAAGTCTCTCTCTAGGGCCAGATGGTTTAGTGGCAGTGTTTCAAGATTGTTGAGCAGTTATAAAAAGTGATTTAGTGAAGGTGTTTGGGGAGTTTTAAACAATGTTGTGGTGAATGTCCATACAAATAGTAAATGCATTTACCTAATTTTGAAGAAGTATAATTCCATGAAATTTGATGATTCTAGGCCCATTAGCTTGGGGCCTGGTCTTTATACGATTTTAACAAAGGTTCTATTTATTAGATTGCAAGAAGTTTTGAGTGAAACAATTCAGGAGGTTTTGTTGAAGACAAAAAATTTTGGGTATTTTGTTGGTAGCAAATGAGGTTGTCGAGGAGAGTATTGGGTTAATAGTAAGAAAGGGGTGGTTTTTAAAATCAAGTTTGAAAAATACGCGTGCAAATTCAAGTTTCATCATTTATACCTAGAATATCCGTGCTGGCATGTCGCCACTCCTTCCGGTGCATACCTTACAGCTCTGTCCCCCAAGGTCAATCTCTTTTTTAAGTTTTAATTTCAATTCCAAAGTTGACGTATAAAGTTCAACTGCTCCCGGCTTGGAGAGGTTAATGCTTGATCTCAACGCCCTGACTTACGAGGTAGTGGAGTCCAATATTGTATTTTTTATTCGAATTAGACTTCTATTTTCAGCTGATATGCTTCTCCATTATCTTTGATCCTCGGCCTAAATAGTTGAATGGACCAAGTTGATTAATTGTGTAGATTGAATTTTTTTTTTTTTGCACACAAAGTTTGGGGAACCGATGGAGGAGATGCATTGAGGGGTGCTTAAGGTCTATGAATTTTCCAATTATATCCAAAGAAATTTTAATACTTCTAGGGGTCTTAGACAATGGAATCCATAGTCACCTTTTCTTTCCACATTGGTGGTTGGGGTGACAGATGGTACTCCAGATGATGGGTTTTCGATTGGCAAGGATCGTATTTGTGTTACTCATTTACAGCTTATAGATTATACTATACTTTTTATGTCAGCAGATGAGCAAAAGTTCCAAAACTTGGTTGATGTTATTGAGAAATATGCCATAGAGTTTAGTGGCAGAAATGAATAGGAATAAGTTAGAAATGAAAGGTAATAGTATAGGTTGTGTCCTGGGGGAATGGCTGTTAAATATTGGGGCTTCAATTGTAGGGTAATGCATGGTCTTTGGTCTTTGAACTTTTGGACTTCGATGGTGCAAAAGATTTTTGACGGGTGGAAAAGGGCTTGTTTATCTACGAGTGGGAGACTCACTTTCGTGCAATCTGTACGGCTAGTCTCCCTTCATATTTTCTGTCTCTTTATAAAATTACTAGGAAGGTCGTAAACACACTTGGATAAATGACGAGTTATTTTTCATGGGAGGTTGTGGTGGAAAGAAGAAAGTATCATTTGATTAGGTGGAAGATGATGTAAATATCTAAATGAGAAAATAATTAATGTAATAGTCATATCACATCATCATTGACCTATGGTATCATCAACCGATTTATAAACAAATATGTAGAACTAGTAGATCCCCAAAATTCTATAATTATCAATAACTTCCACATCCAATGACTACCAAAAAAGATTAGGTTGGTTCAATAACAACTGCGATGAGGAGATGGAATCAGGAACAACAATGGATGAAGACAAAGACACAAGAAAAGAGTGTTATGAAGCTACTGGGGGAGACAAAGACCATTCTTTGAGCAAGACAATGGACGGGTTTGAACTGCCAGGTGATATTCGATTAAATGGGGAAGATAATTTGTTCGATGAAAACGTATATACAAGGGGCTATGAATATTCTACTGTTGGTGATTATTGCTCCGACGAAAGCCTACAGACTGATGATATGGTTTCAGAAGACAATCAACATGAAAAAGAGTCAGATTGTTGAGTTATTCGAAATTATAGAGGAAGAGATAGAGATTAACAACAGAGGGGTAATTGATCGTNGGTGCTTAAGGTCTATGAATTTTCCAATTATATCCAAAGAAATTTTAATACTTCTAGGGGTCTTAGACAATGGAATCCATAGTCACCTTTTCTTTCCACATTGGTGGTTGGGGTGACAGATGGTACTCCAGATGATGGGTTTTCGATTGGCAAGGATCGTATTTGTGTTACTCATTTACAGCTTATAGATTATACTATACTTTTTATGTCAGCAGATGAGCAAAAGTTCCAAAACTTGGTTGATGTTATTGAGAAATATGCCATAGAGTTTAGTGGCAGAAATGAATAGGAATAAGTTAGAAATGAAAGGTAATAGTATAGGTTGTGTCCTGGGGGAATGGCTGTTAAATATTGGGGCTTCAATTGTAGGGTAATGCATGGTCTTTGGTCTTTGAACTTTTGGACTTCGATGGTGCAAAAGATTTTTGACGGGTGGAAAAGGGCTTGTTTATCTACGAGTGGGAGACTCACTTTCGTGCAATCTGTGCGGCTAGTCTCCCTTCATATTTTCTGTCTCTTTATAAAATTACTAGGAAGGTCGTAAACACACTTGGATAAATGACGAGTTATTTTTCATGGGAGGTTGTGGTGGAAAGAAGAAAGTATCATTTGATTAGGTGGAAGATGATGTAAATATCTAAATGAGAAAATAATTAATGTAATAGTCATATCACATCATCATTGACCTATGGTATCATCAACCGATTTATAAACAAATATGTAGAACTAGTAGATCCCCAAAATTCTATAATTATCAATAACTTCCACATCCAATGACTACCAAAAAAGATTAGGTTGGTTCAATAACAACTGCGATGAGGAGATGGAATCAGGAACAACAATGGATGAAGACAAAGACACAAGAAAAGAGTGTTATGAAGCTACTGGGGGAGACAAAGACCATTCTTTGAGCAAGACAATGGACGGGTTTGAACTGCCAGGTGATATTCGATTAAATGGGGAAGATAATTTGTTCGATGAAAACGTATATACAAGGGGCTATGAATATTCTACTGTTGGTGATTATTGCTCCGACGAAAGCCTACAGACTGATGATATGGTTTCAGAAGACAATCAACATGAAAAAGAGTCAGATTGTTGAGTTATTCGAAATTATAGAGGAAGAGATAGAGATTAACAACAGAGGGGTAATTGATCGTTGTGTGTTTTCTAATTCTAAGGCATGTCAACTAGTAAGTCTTCCTAAATTGTTGTCCAATGCTCTTCCTTATAAGCAATTACACTATCACTATGGGGAGTGGGAATTGAGACTAATAAGGAGTGTGAGAGCTTTGATCATGGTTCAAAGTATCGGTCAATACTGATACTAGTTGACCAAGCCATATCCAACTCGACACCTTCCATGATGATACTATTACACGATACGTATAAACCCCGAATCTCGCACGACTCGACCGAGTTGTATCTGAGTCAATTCCGAATTGCCGAGTTACCATCACCAAATCGGCCAATAAGATGCCGCAACACCGCGGTATGACTTGAATCTCTCATCATGTTCAACATTTTCTTTTAGTTTGTATAGCCTAATACACCGTCGCGACGCTACGACTGATATGTCAGAACTTTTCAAGTCGATGGCTAATACCACGACCTTCAAGCATGGCTTTGATTCTATTTGACCTTCATTTCCAAGGAAGAGTATTACAACTAGTATACGTAATATGGAGGGGAAGTTTTCGTCTTTCTTTGGTGGTAATGGCTCTAATGGGTTGGGAAAAATAATCAGTTCTGGTTTGTTAGAAAAATGGAAGGAAGAATGTAATCAATTGATGTGTAATGGGAACAAAGGTGCTATAGGGAGTTTAGTTCAAAGGAATTCTAAAATACAAACTATTCAAAGTAATGAATGCTTTCACGAAGAAACGGATGCCTTATACCACATGTGTGGAAGGATGATAGTAATGGGGGGAATGGTTTTTACTCATCTGATCTAATAAGGAGAAATGGTCAGTTTTAAAAAAAAAAAATTGGAAAAAATGGATTTGTCATTAGTTCATAATAAAAGAAAAGGTAGGAGGGAACTAAAAAGCTTACAATGTGGTGTTAATTATGATAGGGGTTCGCCTAGGAGTGATGAGGATGTACAGAGTTCTTTATTAAGATTATTAGTTGGAATGCAAAAGGGTTGGATTCTAAGAAAAGAAGAAGATCAATTAGCGAATTATTGATTATGGAGGGGCCTAATATGGTTATTTAACAAGAAACTAAAAAGGCGAAGATTGAAAAAATTTTGGTAAAAAAGTGTGTGAAAAGATAAATATAGGAACTGGGTTTGGGTACCTTCTGTGGGTAGGTCTGGTGGTATTGTAATAGTATGGGATGAGAGAACTATCAAAGTGGAGGAATATGTTAACAGTGAATTTTCAATTTCAATTAGGATCATGCATAATAATAGATGGGATTGGTGGTTAACTGGTGAGTACGGTCCAAATTGTCCTAGAATGAGAAAAAGATTATGAGAGAAAATGGCGGGTTTATATAGTCTTTGTAGTCTGCGATGGTGTTTGAGAAGTGACTTTAATATTGTAAGATACTTGTCTGGGAAATTGAATGGTAGAAGGGTGACTTGGAGTATGAGGGACTTTAATTCCTTTGTTAGGAAAGTGGAACTTTAAGGATCCACCTCTGAAAAATGGTATTTTCACTTGGTCAAATTTTAAAGAAAATCCAGTGTATAATAGATTGGAGAATACTTTGGTGAGAGTTGTATCACATCATTGTCCCATAGTGATTGATTCAGANACTGATATGTCAGAACTTTTCAAGTCGATGGCTAATACCACGACCTTCAAGCATGGCTTTGATTCTATTTGACCTTCATTTCCAAGGAAGAGTATTACAACTAGTATACGTAATATGGAGGGGAAGTTTTCGTCTTTCTTTGGTGGTAATGGCTCTAATGGGTTGGGAAAAATAATCAGTTCTGGTTTGTTAGAAAAATGGAAGGAAGAATGTAATCAATTGATGTGTAATGGGAACAAAGGTGCTATAGGGAGTTTAGTTCAAAGGAATTCTAAAATACAAACTATTCAAAGTAATGAATGCTTTCACGAAGAAACGGATGCCTTATACCACATGTGTGGAAGGATGATAGTAATGGGGGGAATGGTTTTTACTCATCTGATCTAATAAGGAGAAATGGTCAGTTTTAAAAAAAAAAAAATTGGAAAAAATGGATTTGTCATTAGTTCATAATAAAAGAAAAGGTAGGAGGGAACTAAAAAGCTTACAATGTGGTGTTAATTATGATAGGGGTTCGCCTAGGAGTGATGAGGATGTACAGAGTTCTTTATTAAGATTATTAGTTGGAATGCAAAAGGGTTGGATTCTAAGAAAAGAAGAAGATCAATTAGCGAATTATTGATTATGGAGGGGCCTAATATGGTTATTTAACAAGAAACTAAAAAGGCGAAGATTGAAAAAATTTTGGTAAAAAAGTGTGTGAAAAGATAAATATAGGAACTGGGTTTGGGTACCTTCTGTGGGTAGGTCTGGTGGTATTGTAATAGTATGGGATGAGAGAACTATCAAAGTGGAGGAATATGTTAACAGTGAATTTTCAATTTCAATTAGGATCATGCATAATAATAGATGGGATTGGTGGTTAACTGGTGAGTACGGTCCAAATTGTCCTAGAATGAGAAAAAGATTATGAGAGAAAATGGCGGGTTTATATAGTCTTTGTAGTCTGCGATGGTGTTTGAGAAGTGACTTTAATATTGTAAGATACTTGTCTGGGAAATTGAATGGTAGAAGGGTGACTTGGAGTATGAGGGACTTTAATTCCTTTGTTAGGAAAGTGGAACTTTAAGGATCCACCTCTGAAAAATGGTATTTTCACTTGGTCAAATTTTAAAGAAAATCCAGTGTATAATAGATTGGAGAATACTTTGGTGAGAGTTGTATCACATCATTGTCCCATAGTGATTGATTCAGAAAAGATGAAGTGGTCTCCTTTTAGGTTTGAAATAATGTGGTTAGAAGATCATACTTTTAGAGGTCATTTTAAGGAGTGGTGGGAGGAACACAGTTACTGAGGATACAAAGATTTTAAATTCATGAAAAATTTGAAAAATGCAAAAAATAGAGTGAAGTGTTGTAATAAGGAGTTGATTGGGGATATTAGAATTACTAAAAATCAAAATCATGCATAGAATTAAAGAGGTTGATAAAATTGAGGAGAATGGAAGGTTAGTAGATGATTTGATAAAAGAAAGATGGGAATTAAGGAATAGATTTAATGAGGTGATATTTAAGGAATAAATTAGTTTGAGGCAAAAAGCGAGAGTGAAGTGGATTAAGGAAGGGCATAACAATTCTAAGTTGTTTCATAAAATGACAAATGGAAGGAAAAAAAAGTTCATTGATAAATTGGAATTAGATAATTGTGAGATTATAGAGGAGGAAAGAATGGTTGAGAGCAAGATGCAGAATTTTTCACCGATTTATATTCACAACATGGGGCCGGGGGGAAAGGGTGAGAAAGCGATAATGGAGGGGCGGAAATGGATCCCTATAAGGGAAGGAGTGTCAAGATTGTAGGAAAAACCTTTAGTGATGAAGAAGTACGAAAAGTTGTTTTTAAGTGTAGTCGTGATAAGGCACAAGCCCTGATGGGTTCAATCTAGGTACATATCAGGAATGTTGGGATACTATGAAAGTGTACAAAGAATTTTTCCAAAATTGTGTGATTAATGCAATTACCAATGCGACCTTTATTTGCTTGCTTCCAAAAAAAGACAAGTCCATGAAGATGAGGAACTTTAGACCTATTAGTTTGGTGTCTAGTCTTTCTAAAATTATTGCAAAAGTCTTATCTTTAAGATGAAAGGAAACATTGTGTGATACTATTTCTAAATATTAGGGAGTTTTTGTTAAGGGTCGACAAATTCTTGATATCGTGTTAGTGGCAAAGGTGGCGGAGGATTATAGAGTTAGAGGCAAAGAAAGTTTTGTTTTCAAAGATTGATTTTGAAAAAACATACGATTATGTTGATTGGGGATTTTGAAGTATGTTATGAGAGTGAAAGGATAGAGGAAGATGGAGGAAATGGATTATGGGATGCTTGCACTCTATGAATTTTTCGGTTATAATGAATGGGAAACCTAGGGGAAGATTTAGTGCTTCTAGAGGATTGAGACAAGGAGATCTTTTATCTCCTTTTCGTTATACTTTAGTACTCAACGGGTTAAGTAGATTAGTGAGGAAGCAAGGATCAAAATTTCGTTTTCGAAACAGTCGAAATATTTTCATTTCTAAGTAGATCGAACAAATCAGTGATAGAATTGAAATTCTAATATTTTTAGGTATTTCATAATGTTTCGAGATGTTTTGTAATATTTCAATGTATTTTTACAATTGTTTCAAAATGTTTAAGGTATTTCAAGATATTTTAATATATTTTGACCAATTTTTTGAAAAAATAATTCTTAATTTTTTTTATTTCTTTCATTATATTTCCAAAACAAATCGAAACGTTTCCATTTCTTAGGAGACCATAACAATATACCAAAACAAAATTTTGATCCTTGTGAGAAAGGTTGAGAGTTATAGTTTAGTTGAGGGTTTCACAATGGAGAGGGATAGAATTTCGGTTTCTCATTTACAGTCTGCCGATGATACAATTTTTTTTTTTTAGTAGGAGAGGAAGGGAAGTTAATAAATTTGAAGAACAATGTAAAAATGTTTGGCTTAATTCAAGCAAGGAAAAAATTAATAGGTTAGCAGGACTTTTGGAGTGTAAAGTAGGAGAATGGCCTTTGAAGTACTTAAGACTACCTTGGGGGTGAATCCACTTTCATTATCATTTTGGGATTCAGTGGTGAAAAAAGTTGGGAAAAGGTTAGATTGGTGGAAGAAAGCTTACATATCCAAGGGGGGAAGGCTAACTCTTGTTCAGTTAGTTTTGTCCAGTATTTCCACATACTTTTTATCTTTATTTAAGTTACTGGGAGGGTTGCTGTGTGAAAATTGAAAAAATAATGAGAAATATTCTTTGGAAAGGTAGTGGAGAAGGAAGAAAGGATCATTTGATTAGTTGGAGGGTGGTGTCTAGACCCAAGGATAAAAGAGGTCTCTCAATTGACAATTTGAAGGTAAAAAATATTGCTTTGGTAGGAAAATGACTTTGGAGATTTCCTTGGAAACAAATTCTTTATGGCATTTAGTTATCTAGAGCAAATATGGATTACATTCTAACGGATGGGACACTAATGGGGTTGAATGGGTTAATTTCAGATGTCCTTGAAAATTCATTTCTCAGGGTTTGACAAGGTTTTCCCAAGAAGTAAGATTAATGGTGGCTAATGGAAAAGAGTTCATTTTTGGGAGGATGTTTGGGTAGGTAAAAATAGTCTTTCATATTTGTTTCATCATCTCTATCATTTATCTCGGTTTCATAATTCATTCATTGTGTCTATGGTTCGTTCACATCATTCTCCATATTCATGGGATTTTGATTTTCTTAAGAATTTAAATGATAGAGACACCATTGATTTGATATCATTTCTCAATATTTTTTTTTTTTGAAAATTATTTCTCAATATTCTGATTAAGTTGGGTGCTAAAAGAGAGTGGATGTTGGAATCATCAAGAGTATTTTCATATAAATCATTCTTTGATGGGGGAAAATTTGTATCCTTCTTTTGTTCCTTCTTTGATGATATGGACAGCAAAAGTACCTTTAAAGGTACAGATTTTCACTTGGACAATTGCACATGGTAAGATTAATATTAATGTCATGCTTCAGAAAAGAAGACCTTAAACTAGGCTTTCTCCTCAGTGGTGCGTGATGTGTAAAAGTGATGGTACGAGTGTTGATCATTTATTTTTATATTGTCCTGTTACTTTGAATTTGTAATATCGATTGTAACAAGAGGCGCAATTAAGTTGTTGGGTGATCCCTGCGACATCTATGTCTTTGTTCAATGAAGATGTTAAACGGTTTGGGGGATTTGACAAAGGGGTTACTCTTTGAAATTGTGCTATCATTGATACTGTTAAGAGTATTAGCGTAATATATGTAAATTATTAATAGTAAGAGGGTGCACATGTAATTTTTATTATTATGTGTTAACTATAAATACAAGTAATGTATGAGAACTAGATTAAGTTTTTAACCTCTCTCTTTTTCTCTAATATTGTGTTATGTTATTTCTCTCAACTTAACACGGTATCAGAACAATTTCGATCATAAATATATTTTGAATAAATTAACTCTGTTCGCATGTGGTACTGTTGTTCGTCGAAGCCATCGTGGTGGTGGTGGTACTGCTGTCGTGGTTGATCTCTGTGTTGTGGGGGTGTTGCTGTCGTAGTGGTTGCAGTCGACTTGGTGTTGCTCGCTGACCGTGGTCGTAGTTATGGTCGGTGATCGTTTGACAGGTTGTACTGCAGTGGTGGTGTCGTTAGCTGTTTGTGGTCGTCGATATTTGTTGTCACCTATGTGTGACGTGAAAGTAATTTTGCTATTGTCGTCATTGGTTCCAGCCGAAGCAGTTGTTGTTGTCATCGCAAGTAGTTGTGGTCGCCGTCGCTTGGTTGTGCCACTGTTGAAGGCACAGTTGGAGGCGAGGGTTTTGTTGGAACCCTAACTGTGAAGAAGATGAATACTGCGGGTTGGATCGGATCTTTCATGGTTGCAGACTTAAATTAATTCTAAAGCCCAACAACCCAAGTTCAACCTAGTCTGTTGGCTTGAGTTTAGATGCAGTTTTAGAGTTTGGTCTTCTTTGATGTCAGACAGACCATTATGTGTTTCATAAACAGACGGATGTTGGAAATGATTCTAAGGAGATTGTCAAGTTAAAAATCTTCTTGCAAGATCGATTTTATACTAAGGATTTGGAAAAATTCAGATATTTCTTGGAAACTGAAGTAGATCGATCTAAACAGGGTATTTGTTTATCACAGAGAAAATATGTACTTAACATGCTAGAGAAAGCAAGTCTATTGGGTGGCAGACCAATTGATGTTCCTATGGATCTAGATCAGAAACTATTGATAGACGATGGTGCACTGTTTGAGAATCCGGGTATGGTGCACTGTTTGAGAATCCGGGTCGGTATCGCAGATTAGTTGGATAGCTCAATTATCTTACTATTACTCGACCGAATATTTTCTATACAGTCAGTATAGTAAGTCAGTTCATGGGATGTGCTAGAATGTCACATTGGAAAATAGTTACTCGTATTCTGCGATATCTCAAACGAGCTCCTGAACTTATACTGTTATATCGAGCTAATGGTCATCTTAGAATGAAAGGTTTCTCAGACTCCTAGAAAAGTAAAAAATAATTCGTGGTAGCAAGATTCAGTGCTGAAGCTGAGTATAGGGCAATGACGCATACAACGAGTGAGTTGATTTGGCTACTACACTTCCTCCAGGAAATTGAGTTTCCAGTTCAACTTCTTTTATAGTTGTTTTGTGACAACCAAGCAGCAATCCATATCACTGTCAATCCGGTGTTTCACGAGAGAATCAAACATATTGAGGTTGATTGTCACTTTATTCTGGACAAGATAGTAGCCGGAGAGATTACAACTCTATTTGTGAAATCTAAAGATCAACTTGCAGATATATGTACCAAAGCATTGAGTCGTACACATCTTACAACGATTTGTTCCATGTTTGGATTATATGATATATATAGTCCAACTTGAGAGAGAGTGTTAAGAGTATTAGGGTAGTATGTGTAAATTATTAATAGTAAGAGAGTGCATGTGAAATTCTTATTATTGTGTGTTAACTATAAATACAAGCGATGTATGAGAGCTAGGTTAAGTTTTTAACGTCACTTTTTCTCTCTAATATTGTGTTATGTTATTTCTCTCAACTTAACAGTTACTATATAGATTATTTGGAAGCAGCGAAATATAAGAATTTTTTAAGACCAGAATGAGAGTGTGGAAGGACTAGGGGTGCGTATTCATTTTTTGGCATCATTTTCAGCTTCGATTACTAAAGCTTTTAAAGGAACTCCGCTTTTTGCTATAGTCACTAGATGGAGAGCATCATGTAATTTATAGGCTTCTTATAGTTTGTTGCTTTTCAATTTGTGTTGTCAAATTTCCATTGATTATGATTGGATTTTTTTATCCAATCTTTTATTAATGTACTACCTTTTTCTATTTTAATACAAGAGTTTCTGTTTTCTATCCAAAAAAAAAAAGGGAAAGATCAGAGGCAACATCAAAAAGGACAAAGTCATGAAAATATATTCTTGTTTGCTCATTGTCCTTCTTATGTAAAACCTAAGTGATACTATGTCATCCACTAGAAGAGACAATTACATACTTTACAGCTACATGTTGCCGCAATTGGTGCGCACAGAAACAAGTCAAATATATCCACATGGGTGACGAAAATTCACCAAAAAGAACAGCTCATACATTTTATATGCATACACCTACACTTCAAATTTTTCCAAAGAACACTTTAAATATTCCATCAGAAAGGTAAGTAGAATTCCACAATTCTCATGGCACTTAGTAAGGTATCAAAGCCCAACTCTCTTCCACTTGAGACAATAAAATACAATTCAGAAAATACCCACATACTTTCAACCCCGAACTCAGTAAAAAAATTATCCAGCATTCTACTAAAATGGGGAAAGATCCTGCTCCTAGTATACTTACTAGCAGTCTTTCAAGAGAGTAATGGCAGAATAAAGAATTTGTATTAATCACATTAGCAGAGTACTAACCTCAATAGCAATCAAATAATAGCGGATCGCAACTTCGATGTTGCCTTTTTCCTGTGTACAGAAGAACAAAACATATAATAAGTCTTCATATGCTAGCAAAATTAAATTTGCAACCGACAAAGACTTGCAGGTTACCTTCCAAGCATTAGCCATATTCCCATAGCACTCAGCAAAATGTGGATCAATTCGAAGAGCTTCTTCATTCTTTGCAATGCACATATCAAAATCATGCAACTGAACACAACAAAAAACATATATCTTTGGCTCAGATGTGGATAAATCTTGTCAACCAAAAAAAAAAATTTACAGAGCACAAAAAGAATATGAAATTGGAACACTTGAAAATAACCTGATAATAAACTGCACCCAAAAGGAGGAGATTATCTGTGCGCTGTGAGTTTCTCTCATAAACAGCCTTACTTTGTTCCAATGCCTGCTTATAGTTCCCCGATTTGTAATTCTGGTGAGCAAGGGTTAGGAGCATGTCTTCATCAACTGTAGCATAGGGGAAAAAATGGGAAAATGAAAAACCACAGCGATGATAGAAACCCTTGTAAGTCAAATGTATTCCATTATAAAACACAAGAATCTCAATACACCCATTGCAGACAAGGCATAACTCTATTAGTAACATGGAATTATAATTAAAAAAAAAAAAAGCAAGCCAGTATTTCGTATGGCCAATGCAACCACGTTGACAACTGGGTCTGAGCATATTGATATGGTGGGAAGACAACAGAAATAGAGAATTGGAACGAGTTCATAGTTAATTAATCTAGATGCTGGTCAAATGCTCTTCTAATGTTTATTATTCATGCCGAAAATAGGGATGGCAGTTCGCCACCCCGCCACATCTCAACCACAGTGGAACAGAAATGGAAAGAACCTAGTGGACATAAAGATGGACAAAACCTGAGACAAGTTCTGGTTGGGTTAGTTAAGGATTTTCTAAGTGGTTTGCCCAACTATAACTACTACATGACTGGTAGAGTTCAAGGTGAATGCAACTTAGTCTCACAGTGATTCTCCAATAAAAACCGAAAGGCATTCCGAATTTGTGATGATTATAACAAACTTTACCCATATTATTTGATGCGGTCACACTTTCACTACCACAGGCATCATATACATCTGAGGCCATGCAGGGAGAAGTTCAAAATAATTCTTGCCTCATAAGCTTTGAATGCTACCTTTTGAAGCAATGGTCTGGTACCAGTAGCACATGGGGAGATGTTCACTCTAATTTAGGACTGACGTGTCATATACGTCAACTTTTTGGAAGTTTTGAGTGGTATACACTCAATGGGGAAAGATGCCCCTCCCCTATTGTTAATTGGTTATCTCCACCCCAACCTGCAATAGGCTTGGGACGGCATAAGAAACAAATTCTAGTTTGGGGTTGGGTAAGGATAGTGGTGTTAATCGAACCGAACTTTGCGAGCTTGAACCCGAGCCTAGCGAGTTCGTTCTTTTAAATGAGTCCAAAAAATTGTTCAAACTCGACTTGTTTATAACTCGAGAGCCCAAGTAGCTCAAATATTTTACATATAAACGAACCGAGCTTTGGAAGCTTAAGTCAAGCCTTTAATGCTCGTTTTTCTAAACGAGTCTAAAGAATTATTCAAGCACAACTTATTTAGAACACGAGTCAAGCACGAGCCAAATTCTTATCTAAGCCGAGTCCGAGTAGCTTGTCTCGATTAACACCACTAGGTAAGAGAAGGCGACCCATCCCAAGCCCTCAACACCAAAGTTAGAGATTCCCAGCTGGCCCATTATTATGATGTTGTAAACGCCCATTGTTTGGGTTCTTAGGCATACCAAGCATGACATCGGTATCATATCAAGTAGTCAGATGCCCATAGTATGACTACCATAAAAATTGTAGAGGGGTTTGGAGTTTGGTCCTTAAAAATATATTTAACTAATTACAGTTGAAATGCATTCAATAAATTGATAATTGCGTTTTATTCACAAATGGTCTTGAAACTAGATTAATGGAAACTGCCCTTATTATGGTATCACATCTTTTAAAACACCCTTCCCCATGCCCAGGAAAGAGAAAGTCAACATAATGCTGCATTCGTCCTTAGTCATCCATTTATTTTTTGTCTAATAGTGTATTCTAATTCAAAACTAGAAAAGCATCATCTCAATGTTCAAGTCATGTCAAACACACTATAAAAAAATACAAATTTACTCACAGCTAAAGAAACATATTCATATCATCGATACGTTATGGACAACCAGAGAAAAGGCATCAAAAAATATTTATATCCAACTCAAACATGACACACTATGTTACATTGATTTATATAATAAAGTATAATACAATTCAAATCTCAAAAAGATAAACAAAATGACTTTTGTTTTTCACAGTTGAGATCTCTTTAAATTTTACTTTAAAACTAATGTGACGGCTAATATTAACACTCCAAATTTAACAAAGAAAATAAACTCCTAAGAGTGTATTTGGAATGACTTTTTAAAAATACTTCTATTCCTAATAACTTCTCATAAGTATTTTTTTTTTAAAAAAGTAGTGTTTAGAACCGGTCCACCACCGCCACCCCACCACCATCCCCACCGCCCCACCCCCATTGTCGCCACACCACCACCACACCCATCACCATCGCCCACAGCCCCACCACCACCGCCACACTACCACCACCACCGCCACCCTACCACCACCACCACCCCACTGCCACGACCACGCCCCACCACCACTGCTGTCATGCTGCCACCCTACCACCACCGTCACTGTCCCACCACTACCCCTACCACTACCACTATGAATACCACTACCACTACCACCCCCACGACCTTCACCGCCACTGCCACCGCCACCGCCACCTCACCCCCACTACCCCATTGTTACCCCCACCACCATCACCAACTATCACCGTTGTCCACCGTCATCACCCACTACCATTGTCATCTCATTTTTATGTTTAGTACCATTACCACTATCATCCCACTACCACTATCGCCCACCGTTTGTGCCCACCACCACCATTGTTGCCCACCACCACTCACTACCACAATCCATCACCACCCATTGTCGCCCACAATCGTCGCTAGCTACTATTACCCACCCCACTATACCTACCACCACCACCCGTCTTCGTCCACCACTATCACCCGCCACCCCACTATCACCCACGCCCCACCACACCTACCACCGCCATCATTCGCCACCACCCATCACACTATTGTAGCCCACAACCACCATCATCATCGTCCACCACCACAACCCACCACTGTCGTCGCCCCACCACCACCAACCTCACCCACCACCATCACCGTTGCCATCCATGGTTGCCACCACCACCACAGTCGTCGCCGCCCACCACAACCATCACCGTCTCCCACCACCACCACCGCCGCCATCCACCACCACTACCACCGTTCACCCCTATTACAACTGATGCTTAAATTCTTTTCTTTCTCTTCTATATTTGTAATTTAATTTTGGGTGTAAATATAAATGTATTTATTGTTGACCCCTTTTTTTATTATTATATACCTTCAAGTATTGACAATAACTAGTTCTTTTATATGCATCAAGTACCCCTGTGGAACACTTGATAACAAGATAAAGCTATGAGATATGGGTGTGATATTTCTCACAAGGAAATCCAACAATTTAAGACTAAGATAGAATACTAAATATAAACATCTCGGTAAGTTCCTTTCATTGTATAGTTGCTTTTAAAATGAATGATGTATAAGCTTTAAACAATCTAGATTACACAAAATACCATTTTAAAATAGGAAATAAAGAAAATTATTCATTATAACGAATATCTCAGTGCATCTGTGGCCTTTTATCCTTGGTTTGGAGATAAGATGAATCCAATGCTAGGGCACATTCCCATACAGGCCAAAACTTGCACTCATACTCAGGTCCACAGTCCACTTAATATGAATGAAATGGACACGACTCCACCATAGAAATGCATGTGCCATTTGAAAGAATTTTTTCCTCCAATGAGCCTCTTATTTGAAATAACTGGGTAGCATCTATGCCACAACGAACCATACCACCCCAAGGTTTAAAACCTTGTACTTGATATCTGATTAGACCTCATACTGTATCCAACAAGCTTCCATCAACATTAACATAATTCAAATGTAAAAATGCAAGGCATGATACAAAATGATGGGCAACATATAGTTATATCATTTCCGTTTTATCATAGTATTTGAAAATGAAAAACTCTAAAATGATAAAGGAAAAGGGTTATTAAATAAAGGGAGCAGAAAACAATATGTAACAAAAACCTTTTGAATTAACCAGAGAGGAAGGATGACACAAGATATGTTGTAAATAAAAATAAAATCATAAGAGCAAAAGAAAAATTGCTAATCATTCCCCATTGAGGGCAAAGAAATAAAGAGTATTCTCATGAGGTTACATCTCATGCATATGATGGTTCTAGCCTTCTAGGTGTAAAGGTGCACACATTTGACTGAGCACCGACTCCAAAAGATCCAGACCACATGACTCGACATTTGAAGCTTAATTGATCAGATAGAAAATCTATACCGCGTGGATGAAACCCCAAATTTTGACATCTCAATCCCTTATATTATCTGAAAATGTTGACATCTCAATTGATATCAACAAGGAGCAATTTTCCACAGCCACCAAAAAGTAAAATTTCTTTTCAGTATCACTCCAGAATCAAGAGTGCAAGTCAATACAATACAAAAATATCCAATCCTCCCATTCAGAATATCAATAGGAGAAAGACTCCTGTGGCCCCCTCCCCCTGTTACACTGGTCAATTGCCAAAACCTATGAGTTCAAAACTTCAAACTTATGAACTGTACTAATAATATGTGTCACTGACCATTCAACTGAAATACGGAGTGGCATTACTCGGGCCAGGGGAGGGGATGCAAAAATATGAAAAGATATAAATTGAACTGATTTTTCTTTTTTGAAGAGAAGTTAAATAGAAAACTACAATCACAAAAAAAAAATAAATAAATAAATAACAGGGCTCCGATCTTCTCGAGCATTAGGTTCTCGATTATAGATCATCATCCTACATCGATCCAAACGAGTGCTAAATTATTCAAGTACGTCCCCACCAAGAAACAGGGATGGAATCTAGTCCTGGGGAGGTCCTATTAACACAAGAGCCAAACTGCTTTATGCCAAACAATTCAATTATTCAAAATATCGATTCCAAAACACAAAATTTTCACTAAATCATCCCTAAAAACATCAATTTCCAATTATATTCAGTTCATATTAAGTATTAAACACTGAAAAGTGACAAAAAAACAAAAAATTAAGAAAAAAAAATTCTAACCGTCACGGGCCTCCAAGGGCTGAGAGAGCTTGAGTTTCGACGAAGGCAAAGCGGAATCCGAATGCAACCGAAACGAATCGTCACGCTGATCGCCATTGTACGGACTCCTAGAAACCTGCAGTTGTTGCTTCTGCTGCAAATTGAATTGCCGTGAATCGGTCTGCAACGACAGCATGGTGCTTGATTGCCGATCAATGGGAAAATTCAGAAGATTTTTTCCATAGAATAAATTTCCTGAGAATAGATTATATTTTCTCTCTTTTCGATTACTTCCAAAACCACAGAGAGAGAGTGCTGCTATGAAAGTGACGGAAAGGACATTCGAAAGAAGGAATTTTTACAGAGTGGGACGTGTCTTCCGTCATCTGGGTGGGCCGAACACGTGGCATGCGTGTGAGTTTGGGTGCTAGGATTGAAGTGAAAGGTTGGAGGTCGAGGTTGCGTGTGAGTTTGGGAGTAATTGAATTGGCTTTCTCAAATTCTATTAAACTCAAACTCAAACTCAAATTTTTTGAAAAAATTCACAGTATCCAAGGCGGAGAGAAATTACACTCGTTCAAAGAAACTTTATAATTGATCAAGAGAATTATGCTCAATCACAAATATAAATGATTGATCATGAATTTTTCCTGCATAATTATAATTTTTCTCTTATAAATTATAATTTAACTTTTAAAAATTATAAATTTGTTATCAATTTTAATCTATCATGATCAATCATAACCTTTAAAAATTATAATTTATAAATCAAAAAAATTATAACTTAACCTTAAATTGTGGTAAAATTTGGTACGACACCAAAGGCAATATTATAGCC